TGATAAAGCTAAAGAATGGCAAAAAGCATCGCGAAGGAATGATATAATTTTAAATTCTTCACATTGTTTTTGTGAAAAACATTTCGCAGAACACGATATTGTGTGGAAAAAAGTGTTTCATGATAAAGATGGTACAATTATTCAAGAGGTATGTTATAATAATGATTTTGAACATATTGCTTATTATTTCTCAAAAAAATGTTATGTTAATATATTGCATCACAGATGAAATTATCATGTAATTATAAATGCATTTGTATTCTTGTAAATATTTTAACTAAATAATACTAAATAAATAATACAATGTAATAAGAGTAATGAATACTGATTTTCTAGATTTCATTAAAGAGGCCGTATATTAAAGACAATGCGGTACCCTCATTATTTCCTTGGACGGAATTTGTAAATAATGATAGTTGGATAAAAAATAATGACAAAAAATAGTTATATAAATAATAATAATGATAAAAAAGAAAGTGTATCTTTTATGATGGAATCTGAAAATAGTATAATAGAAAATACAGGAAGTACGTTATTAAATAATAATATGAAAGGGAAAGAAAACTCAGATATTCTAACATTTAACGAGTTGAAATATAATAATAAGCTTTATATTCCAATTGGTTGGAATAGAAATATATTAGCACTGAAAAATGCCTGTCATTATATTTAGTAAAATGACGTAAATTTATTGAGACTGAAAGTCAATTAATTTGCATTGAAGAAATATGGATAACTGAGGATATAAAAGTTCAAGTAAAAGCTTTAGGAAAGCCTATTGATTTAAATATATTTGGTATAAATAATGAGATTGTATTATCACTAAATATATTAGAAGATTTAATTAAAATGGTCGAGGCTTTCAACATATGCGAAGCTTGTACGAATAACTATAAAGTTGAATATACGAGTATAGCAATAAAAGAAAGCAATAATATACTAAGACATAAAAAATGTCCTATAATATTGGAAAATTCTGTTCAGTGTAACTTTTATAAAAATTTGAAGTATACTTTAGAAAAAAAAGGAAACGTTCTAATGACAGAGGAAGTGAAGTAAAAAGAATTAGAGCAGATAAGTTATCTCCAACAAAGAAAAATTTGATCGATAACATTAGCAAACAGAAATATAATGTAATGAAATGTAAAAATCGTAAAATATGTACTATTCAGAAACTACATAGAGAGATTGAAAAGATACGAAAAAATGTACAGATAACAAATGAAAAAATGTTAAAAGATGCAATGGCAGGGAAAGATATTTCGATTAATGAACAAGAAGCTCTGAAAGAAATATTATTATCTTCATCGAGAAAGAGTGCAAAAGGCAGGCGTTATTCTGATAAATGGATTTTATTATGTTTACTTCTCCATATGAGATCTCCAAAAGGATGTGACTTCATTTTAAATAATAAAATATTGCCACTACCTTCTCCAAGTACTATATGCAGGTATAATTATTTTAATAAAAATGTATGTTTTTCGATATTATTATTTTTTTATACATTAATGTTTACAATGATATATTTTTTAGTATTTTGTATTAATAGAAATGAAACGCAAGTATTAATAAATTAAAAAAATATTAATATGTGCATATATCTACTTAATTTGTAACGTTTTATCTTATTGTATTGGGAGTACAAATTAGTTCGATCCGTTTTAGCGGCGAATTTAAGGGGATGGGCACGTTCAGTTTTAAACGGGGCGGAA